ACATATGTTTCATATGTTTGTTGTTGTTTGATTTATCATCTACGGGTTTATATCGAATTAATTTGATGGCCTGCTCCCAGTTGGCTTGTTAGCTCAATTGGTAGAGCGCTGCACTAGTATCGCAGAGGTCAGTGGTTCGAATCCCGTACAGGCCTGAAATTTTTTTCAGGTCTGATTTTCACTATTGCTCAAATAGTGCTTTACTGCGAAGGATCGTGCACATATACGTTTCATAACCGCAGTTCATACATATGTTTCATATGTTTGTTGTTGTTTGATTTATCATCTACGGGTTTATGTCGAATTAATTTGATGGCCTGCTCCCAGTTGGCTTGTTAGCTCAATTGGTAGAGCGCTGCACTAGTATCGCAGAGGTCAGTGGTTCAAATCCCGTACAGGCCTGAAATTTTTTTCAGGTCTGATTTTCACTATTGCTCAAATAGTGCTTTACTGCGAAGGATCGTGCATATATACGTAAAATAATCTAAGGCGGATAAAAGTTCGTTGTTTAAAAAGCAAACCCTGAAAAAAAAAAAAAAAAGAAAGAGTTCGGACTGTTCAATGTTCTGATTTTACCCTAACCACAATTACTTACATTCTTATTTGATTGATTTCTTCACAGATGTAAAACACAACTATAAGAAGAGTGACAACCTCACAAAATCCACGCAGTAAGTCCAGCGCACCGCTGTAATGGGTGGGGTCCAGTTTGGTTGATGCATGCAGCAAAGAATATGACAAGAACAGCAAAAAGACGCAATACAATGCTGCTTGAAGTCTACAGAAAAGAAAACGCAGTGTTACCTCTGGAGGAACAGAATGAGGAAGGCAAAAGAGGAATGGGTATGACGATCATCATGAGGATATAAAACCTCAAGCGCAATCTTATCAAGTATTTTTGAATCAGCAACCTTCAAGATATAAAAGGCTACAAAAGTTTTCCAGTATTGAGTATTCACAATGATCTAAAATAACAAAAACCTGAATCAGAGACACAAAAATGTAGAGGTAAAAAAATCAGATACCACCTTAAGTGTACTTTGTACATGAGCACATGATAAGGCTACGTGTCTAAATAGAGTTAGATGGTGTGGAGCCTGCACAGATATTAACTGGTTTACCTGAGAAATAAATGCCCATAACTTTTCCATTTCGATTTAATCAGCATCCTGACCACAGGATGTTGCAAGGCTTCCTAAAAGTTAAAATCAAGAACTTATTTCTGCCAAAAACATGGGGTGGGGGTGATCAAGGTGTTAATTCCTGCAGTGGCACAATTATGTTACTGACAAGCAAACCTATTTTGCTAAAGAACTACAATTTTTTATAAATCAATCTTACTTTATTGTTGCTCATGGCAATTGCATGTAAACAAGACTTGTATCTCCAGTTGAAATACTTGTTTTCTGTCTGCTGGTGTTCATCTGAAGCCAAAATCTTTGGGGGCCGTCCTCCCTCATCACCATCCAAAATATGATAATAAAAGTGATAATTTAGTGGATCATCCGAGATTGTATTCCAGACTCCCTCAATTGCCTCTCTCTCTTCTTCAGTTTCATAGTTTTCTTGGCGTTTTGGAAGATATGGCCAGTGAGGGCTCATCATCTGGTCTAACACAGCCACCACTGTTTGCTGTAAGCAACACCAATTACAAGATTCCTATCAAAACATTACTAGTGTACATGTAAGTTAAATAATATTGAAAAAGTAATAAAAGTGTTCCTCAATTTGATCTTCACACATAGCTGCAAACCACAATGAAACAATAAAAATGACAATTTGTATTAATAATCACTAGGGTAGTTGCATGTACTCCCTTACTTGCCCATTCGGCATGTACATTGTCCCAGTAACCATCACCAGAATAAAAAAAATTGGAATATACCAGATTCAACAATGGTACACCTCTAAAGAGTCGCTAAATAGAAGGTATCATTTGCAAATTTTCAAAACAACGCTTCAACTTTAAAGTGTTTAGAGTAGAAATGTCATTTACAAGCCATTTATAACTGATTTTGGAATGATAGGCTTGGGATTCGAGAATGGCAGAATTTCCTCTCACCTCAACCCCCCGCCCCTTTGTAAACTGCTACAGGAGATGTTTTTTGAAGAACGTTTTGACTGTAAATTGTGCTAATGAGCCATTGTTAGTGTACGATGGCCCACAGGGGACACGCTGCAAACAAAAATAAACGCTGCAAACAAAAAAGAAACGCTGCAAATAAAAAAGAGACGCTGCAAACAAAAAAGAAACGCTGCAAACGAAAAAGAAACGCTGCAAACAAAAAAGAAACGCCGCAAACAAAAAGCGAACGCTGCAAATAAAAAAAGGAAGCTGCAAATAAAAAAAACGAGCACTGTAAATAAAAGACGTATGCTGCAAATAACAGAAACGCTGTAAACAAAAAACGGACGCTGCAAATAAAAAAGAACTCGTCATGCGCGCGCACTTGGCTAAAGGGACTGGGCAAATTCATCTCCAGAGCTCAAAGAAAGTCAGCTTTTCCCGCGAATTTTGCTGTTCGCCATGTTCTGCTTGGGTTGTAGCTCAAGATTACTCACAGCGGCCAAATTTTGTCATGGCTGCAGGTTAGCAATAGGAGTAAAAGATGACGATTCTTTGAGTATTGCTGAATTAGAAATGGAATCTTTAGAAAGAAAGCGACACCAAAGCACTCCACTCACCTTTGTGGAGTATAGAGCAAGAAAAGGAAAGGAGCGAAGCTCGCGGTTTGATAGTAGGAAATCTGTGAAGAAAGCGAAAAAGGAGAACAGCGAAAGTGAAGTGACTATACATATCGGCCTTATAAGGTTACAAGACGGAGAGCTGAAAGTAATCCGCGGGTCGACATTGCCGCTTAAAGTGTTGCCATCGATTGGTGCGGAGGAGCTTCTTCGGAGAGGAAACGAAAAGATTGTGAAGTTCAACAGCGATTTAAGCTTATATGGTGCCAGAAGTTTTGCGTTGATGTATCCTGATATAACCAAAGTAAAGTGCCCACCAGGGGTAACGGAACCGTTTACACAACAGCGGTACAAAGAGGAACTTGGGAAGTCTTACAACCGGACTACCTTAGACCTTTGCAAGAAAACAGCTATTATAGATGCCCTGTTTATGAATTCATACAACAGTGATGAAAGTGACTCCGATTTTCCTACTTACGAAGAGGTATAAACATTTTAATTAACGCTTACTGATTCAGATTACAGTATGTGGTAGTCAGTGGGCTCTGGTATTAGATTGATTGGTACTTTAACAGTCCATCCCTCTAAGCTACTGTACATATTACATTTAGCTCATACAAAAAATTGAATATCTAAAGGGTTAAAGATGTGCTTGATGTAGCAGTAAAGATTAATGGGTCAGTTTTCATGCTTAATGCAATTGATGAAAATGACACAGGAGACAGAAAGTGAAGGTATACCATCATATAAGGGAGATACTTGGAGACCCAGGGTAAACCATGCTGTCACAGACAAGCTCACAACCAACTCAACCACATTCCACCCAGCTGTCACTTCCACAGTTACAAGGAACACATTCACAGACTGCACAGTCCAGACAGCTTCAAGCAATGTATGCACAGTCCAGACAGCTACAAACAACATATCCACAGTCCAGACAGCTACAAGTAACGTAGCCACGGTCCAGACAGCTACAAGCAACATAGCCCCAGCTGAGACAGCAGCAAACTCAGATACATTAACTCAAGGGGTTCAGTCAGCAATCACAGGTCAGAGCAAATCTGCTTTGCATGTTTTTTTTTTTTTTTTGTTTTCTCCTAAACGTATTTTGTTTCATCTAAAAATGATTTGGTTGTGACAGTCTCAGTCATTTTATTCTTTTTTGGAAATAGTTTTATACACCCTCACCAAAACTTAAATATGTTCAAAGTTCTTTAAAATAGTGTTCAACTTCAGAGAAAATAAATAAATAAATAAATTAATTGATTACCATTCAGTATAACTACTAATGTTAAAAAAATGTTTTAAAAATGTAATAAAAATTTCTATTGATTGAGGCAAGACACAGAAAACTGGTCAGGGTAGATTTTTAAGTGATTATTGGATGAGGTTTTTCCAGAATAATGAAGGTCAAGGTGGAGGTCATCAGCCAAAGCAAAAGGCTAAGGCTGATAATCCCTACTGAGACCTTGATTATTCTGGATATCACAAAAACCGAATCTAATAATATTGTTTATGATACATTGAATGGAAAAAAACAAAAGAGGAAAGTCAGTCATACAATGAGCTCATACAATGAGCTGTTGCAGTAATTCACTGAATTACTGCAACATAAAGAGGTGTGGCATTTCAAAATTGTTGAGTAACACCATGAAGAGGTCACTGAAAACTTTATACTGAGTTTAACACTTGTGATTACTTGATCAATTTTATGGAGTTATTTCAATGTTCCTGTTTCATGTTGTGTGAAAATCAGATGGGTGGGGTGGTATGGAGAGACATACAGTTGGGTTTACTATGTGCTGTCATATTGTTTAAGCAATGCTATATAGCCAGTCCATTGTTCATGTTTCAATATTTCCTTCAAAATGCAAACTCCCTGCTGTCCAATACTACGTTTTATAGCATGAACTGATTGGTAACTACGGATATTGAAAACCACAAAGTATTCTTTCATGTGCTGATCAAAGCTTATACACAAAAAACTGTTGTATCACTGGCTAAATATAGTTTGGTTACTTTGTTAATAATGTAACAACAAATTAAAGTGGTGTTCTTTATGTGTTGGTACTGATAAATGTGTTGTGTTAATGAATCATTAAATGGTTTTCCCAGCTGGGTAAAATCAACTCACCCATGAACTACTTCATGTCAGAAGATAATTATGCCCTGAATCAGTGTTTTTTTTCTTTTTTCACTTATTCATTCTGCAACTCTATTATTTGTTCATAGAGTCTTAGGGCCTCTCCTGCAGTACTTGGGTAAACCCAGCCTTCGGTTTCTAAAATACACTCAAAATAGTCAATGTATATATTGTCTTCCATCTCACTCTGGCAGTGTACTTTCATCTCCTCTGCCAGTTGTTCAGACACAGAAACTAAGCATTCTTCATGTCCATGATATTCTGGTAAAAAGTACATGACATCTGGTACCCTATAAACAGAACTGTATGGAGACTTGGAAATCTTGTGACTATTCCAATGATCTTTCACTTTGTTCAAGTCATCCTGAAGCACCTTTGAAAAACAGAACCACAAGCACTCCATATGAAATCCATTTCCCACACTAAGTAGTCCATAATCAACCATGTCCTTGAACAGGGTTATCCACCAATTACATCTATTTCGCCTGAAAGAGGACCACCACCCTTCAATTCTTTGATTGGCAGGTGATGAGCAATATCTGTGAGACTTAACACCTGCCTGTTCCTTGTGATCATTGGTACAAAACATGCACTGTATGGAAGCAGCAATACCATTTTCTATGCCACAGTCAGTCACAAGGAGCAAAAGGCAAACACTTATTTCTTTCACTTGATTTAAGTACAAGGCTGCAGGTACTCTTGGGTCATTGTTAGACCAGGCTACTTCTAACCATAAAATTCATGGACTAAATCCATCCACCGTGCCATGTATAGGGAACCCTTAAGGTTTGAGTTTGCCGTATCCTAAAAGCATCAGAATCTCTACATTAGAAACTGATGCAGATCAGTCATAACTTACTCATCTTGAAATGGGAAGGTTCTGTGGTCCTTTAATAGCTCCAAGTTTACAGATGTGCATACCAGACCTACCTACCCACCTACCCCCCCCCACAAAAATTCATTACTTATCCGTGATTACAAAGCAAAAAACAAATACCATCCATATGCCATGAAGCATTGGCTCCTTTTGAGTGAAACGTCCTTCTCTTCGGCTGTCGAGATCTCCTCTCTTCTACCCCCACTGGATCAATTTCCGTCATTATTTTTGCCACCAACTTGCGAGGAACATGGATATGATGTCGCAATCTGAGGGCGTGCCAAATACTTCTGTAGCCTAATAAACTTCCAGGACCTCTCATTTCCTCACGAATAATAGTTCGTAAATCTGAATCATCCATTACCTCGGCATTACCTTTCCTCTTTAACCCTAGAGATCTCAGGTGTCTCTTAAGTATTTGCACACACATTTGAAATCCTTCACATTTCTCGAGAAGACCCACAATAACGTCATAAGGATAACCTCAATGAAAATAGTACGCTACTACTTCGTCTACATCTTTTTCAGCCACACATTTATCGCAGATGCTCTCTTGAACTTCCCCAATACCACAAAAACTACAAAACATCACAAATACTACAGCTGCTTGCTCGACGAGAATCGCTTGGATTTTGAAAAAAAGGTGGGAAATACCCAGGAGTTACCCAGTCCCTTTGGCTGATTGCATGTGCATGATGAGTTTTCTTGTCTTTGCACCGCACGTTTCTGTGATTTGCAGAGTACGCTTTTTATTTGCCGTGTACTTTTTTTGTTTGCATCTTTTGCTTTTTGTTTGCAGCGCTTCTTTTTTGTTTGCAGGGTCTCTTTTTTGTTTGCAGCGTCTCTTTTTTGTTTGCAGTGTCCCTTTTTTATTTGCAGCGTCTCTTTTTTGTTTGCAGCATGTCCCTTGTGGGCCATTGTATTAATGTAATGTTTTACAACGTATGTCTAAAGAATCCCTAACCCATCAAATCATTTACTTAATGATAAATCAAACCTGGGATCCATTCAAATTTCTGTTGATAATACTAGCTCACCTTTAATTTTGGATTCTCAATAATTGCCTTGAAACTGAAGAAGGAAGGTTCAGGATTTGCCATATTATTGCCAGGCGTCCAGAAAAATAGCTTTTGAACTCTGAAAATGCCATTATAAATAAACTTGAAAAGTTCAGGTTGCAACATTTTGATTTATCAGTTTACTTACTTGCAGGGAAAGTACAGAATTTTTTAAAGGAGATCCACCTCTCTTGATTTTTTCAAATATTGTAACTTACATTTAATCAGCATTAAATTTTTTCAACATGGGAACTAAAAATAAGACTGGTAGAGAATGTATTCAGTTCTTTTTAATGACCTTGACTTTTAAAGATTTCGGCTCATCCTCAGTGTAAAAACCTGTGAAGCTCACGAGTGACATAAAACAAAGACAATAAAAAATTATAAACAATAGCGTACAGCAAAACAATACCTCAAGAAACAAAAAAAACCTCGTCAGGTTTTTACACCGAGGATGACCCAAGATTTCAGTCTCCGCAAACAAAAGAAACTCATGTCTTTAGAGACTGATGCTACAATTAATTAGAAAGTTGATTTTTTAATATCAAAACTGTATGGATTTTACCTTTCATGCCTCATGGCTCTTATCAAAAATGCTGCCACATCATCTTTCTCTGCCTCAATAGCAAATTCCACAGGTAGCATTGCTCTTTTATGCACAGGTTTTCGTTGATCTTTAGTCTTAACAGCAAGCAGCAGAGGGCACTTCCTCAAGAGTGTTTTCATGACATGTAAAAAGCCAAGCTCTGCCACATAGTGCATTAGTGTCTTCCTAATTTTGTCATCTTGATCTCGGAAAGCATTGTATCTGTTGCATAAGTTTATTTCACTTTCTAACAGAATCTCCAAAAAACGATTTATCTACAAAATGCATGACAAGAAAAGTTTCTTTTAATTAATAGCATTATAGAAAAGGTACAGATGTTGTTTTAATATCCCTCTGTTTTGGTCACTGCATGGCTGAAAGCAAAAAATTGTTGCCCACTTGTTTAATTTTTAGAGGAATTCTCTTACTGGTGCCCTGTCAATGTAACAAGCTTTACATTTATGGTCAAAATTCAAAGTGAGATAATCATGCACATAAAAAATGCACAACATTACTTCTCTATCATTCTCTTTAAATTTATCAAGAATGCCTCTTTTATTTTGGTTGCCAGAGTATGAAACATTGAGAAGCTTGAGGCCTAGGACTCTACTGAACCCTCTTAGTTCTGTAAAAGAAAGGAAACTTTGTTTCTGCATGCAAAACTTATTTCTACATACCCTCTGCTCAAGTCCAGGAAGTTTTTCAGGATTATCTTTAAACTGTTTAGATGCAGGCCACTGTTTTAACATCACAAGTGCTGGATCCTCACTATCAACTTCCCCATTATCCTTGTATTTCTGGATCAGTCTTTCAACCTGGACTTCATCCATAGCTCTGTTCCATGATAACCCACTTTTCTGTTTTTGATGAACCTTGATAAATAAATAACTTTAGGTACACAAGTAGCTTTTGTGGGTCCAGTTCAAGTACAATTGTTGCTGAAAAAACTATGGCAACCAAGGATATAATTTATTACCGACAACCACTTCATACATAAGGATTAAACGAACCTCAATCTGTTATTGAACACGTTTGTTTGGTCAAGACAGCACTTTAATCCGTAATTGAACACGTTAGTTTGCTCGAGACAGCTGGATTTCCCGACGTTCATTTTTGGCGTTTCAGGGAGGTCTGACTTTGACGATGTCAAGGTACACAACGAAAGAAAACAGAGCACAAAGACAGTATCTAGCCATCTTGACCGAACAACTAAACTTGACCTAAAAAGGATCTATTTCACGAAATACACAAAATATTTTCAAAATGACGTAAATGAAACGCTCGCCTTTCAACGTCTACACTACCTTAATCCAGAACTCTTCGCCATGATCGTCTAGCTCCTCCAACAAACCAATTTTATGCTGATCTCCTCGTTCATTCAACTTATCAGTGCGCTCAAACCCTTTTTCTCCTTTACTCATAACTGAACCGTTCAACAACAGCCACATTGAAGCAATGTGAGCTAAATTTACCCTCTACTTCGAGATAGATATGGGATTTTTGTAAGGCAAGATCTGTTCGGTCAGTCAGTACTTAAAGAGCGGAAATTGTTAGCCGAGCGACTACTGAAAGCCTGGGCGCAACTCATCACCAGGAATTTATTGGCTTCTCGTTAGGAAGAGTGAATCTTTCCCCTTTTTGGAAAAGAAGAATAAAAAGAAGAGAAAAATTGATGCTCCACGCCAATGCCACTTAGGGATGTCTAGTGACATGAACACAGTTACCTTTAAATGCATATTTATTTGCATATTTACATATATATCATATAGGATCGTGCATCATATGCATACATATTTCTTCATGAGATATTTTTAAAATCATTGTAAAGCGTTATTGTATAGCGATAGAAATAGCGCTATATTATTTTATTATAAAGATAAAACTTAAAAGAGATCTTAATTTGCTTGGAATAGACCACTTTGTCTCAAAAACGTTTTTTCCTAATAGAGGTCTCAGAAAATTTCCTCGTCTTTTGCGAATTACGGGTATATCTGTAGGCGAATAGGACGAAATATGAAAACAAATATAGCTCTCTAGAGTAATAATTTGGATATATCAACAAAGTTAAAATAGTAAATTGGCCACCGTAACGATTTCAAAAGCTGACGTTTCGAGCGTTATCCCTTCGTCGGAGCGACTAGAGGAATTGTTGGTTGTGTGTGCTTTTAAAGGCAGAAAATGGAGCTACGTTATTGGTGGAAACATGGCAACGAGAAAAACAAGAATGGAATGGAATAGTGGAATGAAAAGCGTTCGTTGATCCCTGTGGGATTTAGACTGCCAGTTTGAAAGATGAGCTTTTGTTCAAGATTTCCACGGCTTTCCGTGCTACCTAAATGTTAGGAAAGACCGCAGATTGCCATATGTTGCTTAGAATGATTAGGTAAATTAAAATGTCTAGCAACTGGTTTCGATGTGTCCTTGTCATTCCTTTCCACGTCTCGAAGATGTTCTCGGAATCGGTCACCTAGTCTTCCGCCTGTTTCGCCGATGTATATCTTTTTGCAATAAGTGCAAGTTATGCAATAGATTACATTGGCGGAGGTG